TGAAGAGACACCGCGTAATTCAGCAGATTATTAAGGAGACAGTCATGACTTAATCTTCTCTTCTTTTCTTTGTTTATTTTTATTTGTTTATTTATTTTATTTATTTGTATTTGCTGCTGCTTCCTTCCTTTTGCTGCTCTCCTCTTCTCCTTCTTCTTGTGTTGCTGCTGCTGTGTTGCTGCTGCTGCTGCTGTGTTGCTGCTGCTGCTGCTGTGTTGCTGCTGCTGATATGCTGCTGCTCCTGCTGCAGCTGCTGCGCGCAGCTTAACGGAGAAGCCCTCCTCCTCCTCTGTCTTCTTTCTTCTGCTGCTTATACAGCAGCAGCATTGCTGCAGCAGCAGCAACACAGCAGCAGCAGCAGCAGCAGCAGCATTGGGCTGCAACACGGCAGCAACAGCAGCAGCAGCATTGCTGCAGCAGCAGCAGCAGCATTGCTGCAGCAGCAGCAATATATAGCAGCAACTCCTGCTGCAGTTCTTACCGACATAAGAGAAAGAGGGTTAAAGGAAACACCTCTACCGATCTGCTGCTGCTGCTGCAGCACAGCAGCAGCAGCAGCAGCAGCAACAGCAGCAGCAACTGCAGCAGCAGCAGCAGCAGGAGGTTGTCTTCATATATTCTTGGAGCCTTCTACTCGCTACCTTATAGAAAGCGCAGCAGCAGCAGCAGCAACAGCAGCAACAACAGCAGCAAGAGCAGCAGCAGCAGAGTACGTACATCGTACTCCCTGTCTCGTTGCCTTCTGGGGAGCGACAGCAGCAGCAGCAGCAACAGCAGCAGGAGCAGCAGCAACAGCTGCTCCTTCTGCTGCTGCTGCTGCTGCTGTCGCTTGTTTTATAGGTATTAATAAATAACAGCAAATAAATAAATAAGAAAAAAGACAAAAAAGGAGAGAAAAAGGTGACAAAAAAGGAGACAGATAAGGAGACATATAAGGAGACAGCAGCAGCAAAAAAGGAGACAGCAGCAGCAAAAAAGCAGACAGCAGCAGCAAAAGGAGACACCCAAGAGCCATGCTGAAGCCAGCGGGATCTGTGCCTTGTGTTCTCCTGCAGACAGCAGCAGCAGCAGCAGCAGCAGCAGCAGCAGGACATCCTTTATCCTGTCTAACGCAACAGCAACAACAACAACTGCAGCAGCAGCAGCAGCAGCAGCAACTGCAGCAGCAGCAAAAGAAGAAAGAAGAGCAGCACGATGAGGAGCTGCTCCATCAGCAGCAAACGGCGTCGGAAACGGAGAATGAGCAGCAGCAGCAGCAGCAGCAGCAGCAGCAGCAGCAGCAGCAGCAACAGCAACACGAGAAGCAGCATAAACAGAAGAATAAAGGGGCAATAGAAGAACAGCAACAGCAGAAGAAGCAGCAGCAACTGCAGCAGCAACTGCAGCAACTGCAGCAGCAGATTAACGTTGCAGCCCTAAGAGACATGCAGATGGATCCCCCTAAAGACACAGCAGCAGCAGCAGCTGCAGCAGCAGCAGCAGCAGCAGATGTTGCCCACGGCTGGCAGTCTCCTATAGCCGGCAGCAGCAGCAGCAGCAACAACAGCAGCAGCAGCAGCAGCAGAAAGAGGAGCAGCAGCAGCAGCAAAGCTTTTGCTGTTGATAATCCTCTTAAGGACAGCTTCCTTCTTACGGTAAAGTCCGAGGAGACGCTCCCTGCTGCTGCTGCTGCTGCTGCTGCTGCTGCTGCTGCTTCTGCTGCTGCTGCTGCTTCTTCTTCTACAGAAACAACAACAGCAGCAGCAACAGCAACAGCAGCAGCAATAGCAGCAGATGCAGCAGCAGGATCTATAGTATATCCTGCTGCTCCTCCTCCTTCCCCAACATCATCATCATTAGCCCCCCCACCCCTATCATCAACAGCAGCAGCAGCAGCAGCAGCAGCAGCACCATCAGCAGCAGCAGCAGCAGCAGCAGCAACAGAGAGTAAATGGGAGAATATGAAGAATAGAGAGGAATGTCTTGTTGCGCTGCAGTTGCTGCTGACGGATATATTAGGTGTATTGATGGTGCTGCGCCCTACAGGCAGCACAACTGTTCCTGCTGCTGCTGCTGCTGCTGTTAGGAAAGCAAGAGAAGCTGCTGTTGCTTCTCTTGGTCTTATTGGTAATAAAATGCAGCAACAGCAGCAGCAGCAACAGCAGCAGCAGCAGCATCAGGATCGTAGCAGCAGTTGTACTTGTAATACTAATAATACCTGCAGCAGCTGCAGCAACAGCAGCAACAGCAACAGCAGAAATAGCAACAGCAGCAGCAGCAGCAGCAGCAGCAGCAGCAGCAGCAGGAGTACAACAGATGTAGAGGAATCATTTTCTTCCCCTTCTTGTTCTTCTTGTTCTTGTTCTTCTTGTTCTTCTTGTTCTTGTTCTTCCTCTTCTTGTTCTTCTGGTGTATGTGTAGATAGATTAGGGTATAGATTAAGTGCAGCAGCAGCAGCAGCAGCAGCAGCAATAGAGCAGCAGAATCCTCAGTATGCATATCATCAATATAATATATTATCTGCTTCTTCTCTTTCTTCTCTTCTTCCTTATGTTAATATTTATCTTAAGGAATTAATAGATACTATACAGCATAAAAAAATACTTATACAATTACTTAGATCCCCTGCTGCTCCTGCTGCTGCTGCTGCTCGTGCTGCTCCTGCTGCTCCTGTATCTGCTGCTCCTGCTGCTCCTGATGGTTGCGGTGGGTGTGGCGGTGGTGGGGGTGCAGCAGGAGAAGAAATAGGAGGAGGAGGAGGAGAAAGAGGAGGAGGAGGAGGAGGAGGAGGAACAGATGGTGCTGCTGCTGCTGCTGCTGCTGCTGCTGCTGCTGGTGGTAGTACTGCAGCAACTGCAGCAGCAGCAGAGGAGGAGACAGATAATTTACGTTTGCTGCTGCAGGTATTTATTGCTTGCTGCCCTGCATCTATGTTAGATTTTGTATGTAATAAGCTTGCTGCAGCATATGCACAGGCCTTGCTGCAGGGGACAACGCAGCAGCAGCAGCAGCAGCAGCAGCAGCAGCAGCAGCAGCAACAGGAGCAGAAGGTGCAGCAGCAAGAGAAGCAGCAGCAACTCGCACTAGTAGCAGCACAGCCGGCTAAGACTCTTAAGGCCGAGCCTACTGCAGCAGCAGACAGCATAACAAAAGCAGCAACAGCAGCAGCAGCAGGAGGAGGAGGAACAACAGAGACAACAACAGCAGCAGCAGCAGATCCTGTTGCTGCTTCTGTTGCTGCTCTCTTAGGGCAGCAAAGTTTCTTACAGCGCTTAGCTGCATGCATAGATTGGAGACACTTCTGTCCCCCTGCTGCTGCTGCTGCTGCTGCTGCGCCATCTGCTGCTGCTGCTCCTCCTCCTCTTCCTCCTTCCTGCAGCAACAGTAGCAGCAATAGCAACAGCAGCAGCAGCACCAGTACCAGTATATGGGGGCAGCAGCAGCAAGAAACAGATGCTGCTGCTGCTGGTGCTGCTGCTGCTGCTGCTGCTATACGCAGCGCATTTAGCAGCGCGGCGTGTCTATATAATGCAGAAGGTTTACTTGAAGGTGTAGAGGGGCAATTTGCTGCTGCTGCTGCTCCTGCTGCTGCT